ACGTAATTTAAGCCTTCTACATCCTGTCATTACAGGAGATGTCAGAATAGTAAAAGCCAATCCCAGGCTGACCTGTTCCTGCAACCCTGTGGTTTTGTGGCTCTGCAGACTTTATAAAGCTGTCTGTCGGTGCCTGTGGTCCCCACAGTTGGGGCAGTTGGTGGTGAATGTCACCTCTCACATTTTGCCCCGAGGGACTGGAACCCAAAAGGCGTACGCATTTACAGAGGTTTACAAAGAGGGGTGGGGCAGGCCCCTGCTCAGCCTCTGCTGCACTAAGGCGCGCTCTTCCACCTGAGCCCCTAGCTGGCTGCCTCTCAGCAAGAATAGAAGTCGAGGACAGAAGCCAGAGCCCCACTGTTGTTCTGGAGATTGTTAGAAACAGCAAAGCCTTTCTTAGACCACTGAGCACATCACATCCTGGGTACATATAAGAGACTCAACAAATACTAGTGTAAAATGGCTTAGGAATTATCCAAGTTCAAACAGTGAACATATTTATTATTAGAACAAGGTTCTCAGTCAACAGCTGTCCGACATTTTCACGTTGTAATCCTCACCCTGCCGCTCCATTCAACCCCCTGTGTACATGAGTACACATCTCATAAGACTGCACCCCAAACACGTATGCGCACGCACATGTGAAAGAGGACTGATCACAGAGCTATAGCCTTGTCCCAAATCTGGGTCTTTGGGCATTGATAAGATTAGCCGGGCCACATTTAGAATAAACAGGTATTTAACTATCCCCCTCTTGTAAGTCACTAACTACTTTGTAACTAGGCTACTCTTAATATGAACAAAAGATAGTATATTTTTAAAAATTGTTAATTATAGACTATAACATCCATAATTGTTACCACGTAAAATAAACTTGGGCAAAGGGGATATATTTTACCCCTTCCCAGGGTTAGGAGAAAGTAAGTGATGGGTGTTTTGTTCTGATTCAGGTTCTCACTGGGGATGATTTTGTTCCCCCTTCTCCCCAGGGGACATTTAGCGATGTCTGGGCGTTTTTGATTGTCGCTGCTGGCATGGGCGGATATTATCGTCATCTAGTAGGTGGTGCCCAGGGATGCGGAGAAACATGCTACAGTGCACAGAACAGTCCCCCGTGACAAAGAATCAGCCAGCCCGAAGTGTCAGTAGTGCTGGATAGGGAAAGCCTGCTGTAAGTTGTTAGGTTTAGTTGCTGACCTTTACAGTGGATTAGCCTTTATTTAGTTAATTCAGAGGTGAAATTAACACTAGTGCCCCTAATCCGTCTTTGTATTCTGCAGTGGGCCTTGGCACCCTGACCAAGATTGGGACGCACTCTGACCATGTGTGAAGGCCTGAATTCAGGCAGCTGACAGCAGCATTTGGACTGGGTTCTAGCAGTCACAGCGAAAGAAAATGAAGAGCTGTCACGATAATAAGTGCCTAAGGTTACGTGAGGGAGTGAAGAGTAAAAATGTGATGTGGAGCCCGCTGTTGGGAGTATGTTTTGAGACCAGCAATAGTGGCATCACCTGGGCACTTAATGGAAATGCAGACTCTCAGGCTCCCCTCAGACTGAGTCAAAATCTGCATTTCAGCACGATACCCACGTGATGTTTGTGCATCTGGAAGTTAGAGGCACTGGGTAAGCATTTTTTACTTTGGAGGAAAATATACCTTGGTTCAGATTGTGGCTCTGACTCTTAGCAGAGGTGTGACCTTGACCGTGTTACAAAACCTCACTGCACCTTAGTTATTTCGGCTGTAGAAAGGGGATAACATCACCTATCTCATGAGGTGGTTGTGACACCTCTCATGTGGTTGTGATGGTTTACCGTCTTTCAACAGCCAAGATGGTAAAAGAAGAAAACAAAACAAAAACAAAATAAAGGGAAAGGGCTCAAGTAGAAGACTTCAAGCTGCAGAGTAAGATTAAATAGGAATACTGACTAAAGTTCCTTTTGCAAAAGGGATTAATTTAGACTATATTGTGTTCAATAGTGAGTCATCCTAAGTATACAGGTTGTGAGGGGTGACTTGTCTTCTAAGTGTTTTGCAAGAGAACATTTTTTAATCTTTGATTTAAATCAGAACACGTTTGCATTTTCTTTAATTTTTTGATGATAAAAATGTTTGTTGTCACACATTTAGAAAATACAGGAAATACAAAGAAGAACGGCAAGCACACCAATCCCGGTACCTACCTATCTCTTCTTTTATTCAACAATTATTTATCAAGCATCTGCTGGGTGCCAGGGACTGCTTGGTGTTGGACAGACCCCCGTCGACAAGGTGGCAAGGTTCTAGCCTTCTCAGAGCTTACAATGTTGAGTGACTAAATTTTGATGCATTTCCTTCCAGTATTTTTTTCTGTGCCCTTAGTGAATATGTGATAGCAAACAATAAGAGCTAATGTTCACTGTATTACTGTGCGTTGGACCCTGTTTTAGGTGGTTTGTATGGTATGTATTAACTCAGTTCCTATAACACCACTCTGAGGGAGGTGCTGTTATTCCCACTTAACAGATTGGGAAATTGAGGCACAAAGAGATTAAGCAACTTGCTAAAGATCACAAAATCCATAAATGCAGAGTCTCGATTAAAAACCAGGCAGCCAGGCTCCAGAGCCTGACCCTATTAGTCACAGAACTGTACTGCCTCTCATAATACTTACAAAATTGAGATCATACAATATAGACAATTTTAATTCTTGCTTTTATATTGACCATTACACGTGAGCATCCTCCTGTAACGTGCATAAACGGTCTATTTCTTACCTCCAAAAGAAGTAGAATTTTAATTCATTTGTTTAACAGGGTCATAATGAAATAAACATAAATAAAAATGTGATGATAAGCATTTAAATGCTTACAGAGATTATAAGGCATTCTTAATGGCTTATCATTTGTTTAAAGATCCTGTACTTTCAAGGGGAGTTAAGATGGACAAGTTACGTTAGGAAATTAAACATTTTGTAGCTTGTACTTGATTTTGTAGCAGGAAAACAAACCTAGCTTTAGATAAAGAGCAATGGTGATGACTGTTCTATAAATTAGTCATAACATGGAATTGTGTTGGAGATGTTGAATGGAAGAGACAGTGTATTGTCTTACGGGGTGGGGCAGTTGTGAGACTCAGGTTGCCTGTGCGGGGCTTTTCACGGCATGTGTTAAGAATGAACTGTGTCAGATGAGGTCCACTTGTGTGTGGGAACTTCGCTAGTTTCATAGTGAACCGGTGGGATGGTCTCTGTGCGTGTCCATAAGGTATTAGTGAGATACAACAACACTGTACCAGCAGCAGAGTGTCTGCAGTTGGGAAAGGCACAAATTCCTGAACTGTAAAGAGATTTCAACTAAGAAATAGAAATTTCAAAATTGATGGCATAGGAGACATTTGAATTGTAGGCATATCTAAATTGTAGGGGTATCTACAGAAAGCATGAACTTATTCATTGTCTCACCCTGGGCAAATTACTTGGCTTCTCTGAACCATAGTTTTCTCTTCAGGCTAATACTTGCCTTCTGGAGTTGGCATCAGGATGAAATGAGTCTGTCCATATAAAACACCTGGCATGGTGCCCAGCACTTGGTAGAGGGTTTATTAATGGTCACAGTTACTCTTGGCTGTTAAGTAAGTTTTAATCTTTTTTAAAAACACCTGGCCTTATATACAACACAGTGGTTAAGAATGTACATAAAAGCCAGACTGCTTGGGTTCCAACCCTGGCTCTACGATTTTCCAGCTGTGTGGCATTGGGCAAGGCACGTGAACTCCTGTGCTTTAGTTTGCTTCTCTTTAAAACTGAATAGTTACAGTACCTACATGTTAGGGTGGTTGAGTGTTAAATAAATTATTATATATAAAACCCTCAGAACAGTCTGGTATAGAGCACTGTATGAATGCTTGCTGTTGTTATCAGTAATACAGTCATTAACTCAGAAGAAGATAAAGTAGTATACCTTACAAAGTAGATATCTTTGAACATTTCCTCAGCTGATGCGACTTTTGCTTATTACTATTTGATGTATAATTTGTTTGATGTTTGTGGCTCAGGTGTAGTTTTTTCAATGCATATTGAAACTTGATTTTTAGATTTGGTGATACCATTGTGTAATATCTGAATAAGCAGAATTTTCTGATCAGACACTATGTTTAAATATAAATTTTTATTGAAAAATGACCATTCTGGCTGTGGTATATATGTGTACAGTGGAATACTATTCAGTCATAAAAAAGAATGAATTTTTGCCATTTGCAGCAACACGGATGGACTTGGAGGGCATTATGCTAAGTGAAATAAGTCAGACAGAGAAAGACAAATACTGTATGATCTCACTTATGTAGAATCCAGAAAATACAACAAACAAGTGAATATAACAAAAAGGAAGCAGACGCACAGATAGAGAACAAACTAGTGGTTGTCAGCGGGGAGGGGGAATGAGGGGGAAGAGGAATAGGGCTACAAACTATTATGTATAAAATAAGCTACAAGGATATATTGTACAACACAGGGAGTATAGCCGATATTTTATATTAACTATAAATGGAGTATAAGCTTTAAAAATGGTGAATCACACAGATTAGAAAACAAACTTACGGTTACCAAGGGGGGGCAGGAAGATTGGGATGAATTGGGAGGTTGGGATTGACATATATACACTACTATGTATAAAATAGATAACTAATGAGAACCTACTGTATAGCACAGGGAACTCTGCTCAGTGCTCTGTGGTGACCTAAATGGGAAGGAAATCTAAAAAAGAGGGGATATATATATGTATAACTGATTCACTTTGCTGTAGAGCAGAAACTAACACAACACTGTAAAGCAACTATACTCCAATAAAAAATAAATTAATTAAAAAAAATTGTAAAAATTGTGAATCACTATATTATACACCTGTAACTTATATAATATTGTACAGCGACTGTACTTAAAAAAAGAAAACAAAATAAAGAGGAAGAAAAAGGAAAAAAAAGAAAAATGACCATTCTGAAATGTCCTTTTTCCTCCCCAGATTATTCAGAGCTGGGAGAGCTTCCCCCACGATCTCCTCTAGAACCAGTTTGTGAAGATGGACCCTTTGGCCCTGTCCCAGAGGAAAAGAAAAGGACATCTCGTGAACTTCGAGAGCTGTGGCAAAAGGCCATTCTACAACAGATACTGCTCCTCAGGATGGAGAAGGAAAATCAGAAGCTGCAAGGTTGGTTTGCCACTTTTTATATTTAACAGGCCTGATGTTGATTTAATTTGTCCTGGCTCTAAAGTGAAGCGTATCAGACATAAGCGTGTTATTCTTTAAAAAAAAAAAAAGAGAAAGGCAAGGTACTCTAACATACATACATACACACATGCATATTAAATACCTGTTACTTTTCCAAAGCAAAGTTAGTACTTTTCACTTTCTAGAGATTTAATGATAATCTCGCCAATTATATTAAATTAAATCTTCTGAGAGACATCCTTCAAATGTAAGCTTTAACTCTCTGAAAAGTGTTTTTTGTTTTCTTCTTTCTCTCTCTCCCCCTGCTTTGTCCTCAACTGTAGTCTTTGCCTGGTACTAGGTATGAACTGATCCTACCTAAATCATTAAAGTTCATAACCTCACTCTATGTGCGTTTTTAGTGAGTGGCAGGCAACCTGAAAAATAGAGAACTAAGACTTCACGTTAGCTGAGCTGTACCTGTACTGATAACAAGGTTTTATAAGGACACACTCATTTAATCCTGGTGACAACTCAAGAAGGCGGGTATAGCCTGAAGAGGAAATGCTCTAATGCTCAGAGAAGCCCAGGGTTATGTTAGTGTCAAAATAAGCCATGAACTTTGAAAGTTTAGATTCTGTTCATTTCCTGTTTCCATAGTCATTTGAACGAATAAATATTATTTGCAAAGTAGCTAAGGAGCTGAGTTGTATGTACCCTGGGTGGTATACTGCAAAGAGCACGGGTCTTGGAGTGCAGAGAGCTGCCTGGATATAAAATAAGGAGGATTTTGGTTGGGAAGTCCGAACATACTCTTTAAAAGGGAGGCTATACAAGTAGTACATGGGGGCCCTGTCCAGAGCAATTCTGGAATTAACTTCCGCCTTGATTGCAGAGCTTCATCTTTTATTGTGATGTTTGTATAGAGCTGAAAGTTAAGACACCAAATCTGGTGACTAAGGTTCATTGTCCATATAAATATGTCATCTTTGACCAAAAACAAGAGTCAAGTACAAAGTAATAAGACCTTTTGATAAGAGAGTAGTTGAGCGGTTGGAATTGTCTACTTACGGGTGTAGTGGGCTCTCCAGTACCCAGTATTGAAGCTGAGAGAGACAGCTCATCCCATGAGGCTGCTATGGAAAGGGATGCCATGGCGAGGGGAGTTTAGAGCAGTGAATGCTAAGTTTTCTTCCAAGTCTGTTTTTCTACCATTTTCCTGTATGTTCTTGAAGGTAATTCTAAAAGCAGGTGTCTAAAAGAGATTTAATAGTGATGGCATCGCTGAGTGTTCCATCGACTAAATGACAGCTTTGGAGCACCGCGCTTATAATCATGTGTATGTTGGTGGGGATTTTTGTTGAAAGGTAAAAAGGCACTTATATTCATCATGTAGGTCATAAACCTTAATGCTTTTCCTGGCCCGTCTTCTTGCAGATGGCAGCTACGGAAGATCAGGGCACAGTTGTAAAATGGGAAGGACGCTGGCTGGCTTCTTGGGAGTGTTGGGAGGAATCGTGACTGTGACTGATGAGACAAGATCAGATTGCCACAGTGGCAAAGCTTTTGTAAAGCCATGTAAATGGTGACCAGGCAGACTAGAATGGGCAGGGAAGAGTTTCCTAGGGTACCTAGAACACCTTGCCCTATGTTCACTAGCCCTTGCCAGCGTCCTCATTTGCTGCTTCCTTGTTTCATCCAGCAGAGTTCCGTCCTGTGTGGTCTCTTATTTTTGCTGTTTGAATTTATTCCTCTCCTTAGCTCTGTCAGGTCCAACATATGCTTATCTTGGTGGTGAAAGCGTAATAAACTTGCTAATATCGTTTAGGAAGCGTGTCAGTGTGTACAGTACCTGTATTGCTGAGAAAACTAATCAGCAATAAGAGCCTGATCATGAATGGCCTAAAAACATGTAGTAAGTTTTGTTGGGGTGGCATGGGGGGCACAGAATCATTAAATACAGAGGCAAGATTTGACAAGAACCAACCAGGAGTGCACTAGAGAGGCAGTCATTTTATCGCTTTTTTTTTTTTTTTTTAATTTATTTTAAAAGGAAGGTTAAATTGCAGCTGGAAGTGGCGCTTGCAGTTGATCAAGAATTCAGGCTGAATTGCATGCTTTTTGGGAAAGAAATGAGAGGAACATATAGGAGGAGGTTCTTCCTATGGTTAAGCCTTTTTCCTGGCTTTTGAATATACGGATCAAATATTTATTACTATTCCGGGAGCACTGCATTCAAGAAAGAATCAAACCACGTCATCTAAATCTGTTTCACTTCATTGTAGACCATTGGAAGCTGAATTGTGATTTCCTCAAAAGTTAAACAGCTAATTTTCAGTGGTGCTGGGGCTGAAATGCATGGCCTCTCTCCCCGGCCCTCAGTCCTCTGCAGCACCCTCTGCAAGGCCATTTCCCCCATTATAAATGACGATGGAGCAGCCTGACGCAGGACAGCAGGGTGACTCACCACAACCATGGGTTTTGGTCAGCACTATACTGCTTATTAGACTGAGTCATATAATTTAATGTTGCAGATACTACATCGGCATAACGATAACACAGTGAATTTTGAGTTTTAATTGATTATCACTGAAGATATTTTTAAAAGGTTTTCCTAGTTAAACAAGTACTACACGTTGGTTATAAAAAAAAGTTAGATATTGAGTGCAGTTTTTCTAAAATCTCTACAAGTTTGGGCGTCATTTAATTACTGAGACTCCCAGCCTCTTAGCCTTCCTTCCCTTTCTAAGTTTTCAGGAGATGGTGGCAGTTGGAAGAGCATTTTGTCCGTGAAGGCAGTTGCTAAAAGAGCAGAACTGGGACAGGCAGCCACAGCACACCCTGTGCGGTGACATAATCAGACCTGAACATTATTAGTCTGCAGTCCAGGTTGTAGCTCACATTCACGTTCAATGGCGATTAGATGACTCTTTTGCAAAGTTAACATTTTGATCTCATTTAGTCCTGGTTTCTCCTAGCCCCAGAAACTCTTAAACGTGGGTTTGCAGACACTTATTTAATAGAAGAGTTTGGTCTTGTATCTCAAGTTCTTGCCTTAGAGCCTTGATGTTTGTTGTGGGGTTGTACCATCTGCCTTGCTTGATAAGGCGTTTTGGAGGCCACTGGTTTAGGGAGCAGTGTTGTCAGGATACTGAAACGGCAGGCTGTTGCTTGGGCCAACAGCAAAATACATAGCTTAATAAGCCTTTTCAGCTGCATTTTCTGGCCAGATATTTCTGTTCTGTTGACTTCAGAGGAGGTTCCTCTTGTTGCTTTCTGGACTCTTTAGTATCCAGACGTGCTCACAGCAGAATTCACTGCCAGAGAAATGTACATTTGGCCCCAAGAGCCTTGTACTGCTTGCAGTCACTGTTTGGCAGGGCTGGTCCTGAACCTTATGTGCCACAAGGGTTAGCTCAGCTCTAACGGCATCTACTATGTGTAGATGAGAAGCTGAGAGAAATTGAGGGTTGACATTTTTTAAAAATTTGAACTCCACATACACGCAGGGAATTATTTAGTAGGACCTTGAAAATGTGTTCTTCAAAGTAAGAAGGAAAAGAATGAAGACAGAAGATGAAAAATCACAGAAGATGAGAAGGAGGCAGCAGTAGGCCTAGAGTCTCCTGGCCACCCACCAGCTAGTAAATCACCTTGGGCAGGTCCCTTGCTCACTTTGAACTTCAGTTTCTGTGTCCATGAAGTGAGAGGCTGGACGAGGGATCTCTGCAGCCCTTTTCAGCGCCATCTTTTGATGCGTTTGTACTCTTAAAGGCGGTAACTGGGTCAGTTAAGTACAGAAAACATGCATAAGATGACTAAGATCTTACTGTCAGGTTAGCATTAGCCAGATTCTTTGAGTTATTATCATTTGCTCAGTTTCTAATGGGGAAAAAGAAAATATTTCATGTTATCAGCACTTGGTTTGTAAAGCAACATTATTTCGATTTTTTTTTGCTTTTATATTTTTGGTAATTTGTGGAGCACTTGCTAATTAGCAGACATCTTGTAGATGGTTGGTATATTTCATCTCACTTAATCCTCACAGGAGCAACTCAGTGAAATAGCTGTAATTTCCTATTTAGAAAATAATCCAGGGTGCAAAAATCCTGCACCCAGCACATCCTGATTCTGCGGCCCTGGACAAAGTAATGAACCTGCTCAGCCTCGGTCTCCTCCAGAATAAAAGTTGGGGCGGAGGAGTATGGATTTGTGGGATGGGGGGAGAGCAGATTGTGCGAGGTGTCCACTGACTTAGTGTCTCTGGGACTAAGAACTCTTCGCCAATAAACTTAACAGCTTAGATGAAATGGACAAACTTATTGGAAGGTGCAATTTATCACAACTGAAATAAGAAGGAAAAGAAGTCTGAATGGCCCTATATCTGTTAAAGAGATAAAATTTGCATTGAGACTCTTTCACACAAAGAAAAGTCTAGGTCCAGATAGCTCCACTGGATTCTATCAAACAATTAAGGCCCCTAATTGATACCTGCCTAGTCTCAGAAAACGTGTATAATTAATCACAGCAAGTTCTGCAGTGTGGTGGAGAAAGGCAAGGGGCCCAGGCCCATTCCGCCTCCTGCTTGGGCCTTGGGGGAGGGGCTCAGTCTTCTCATCCAAAGATACCCTGCCTCACAGCGTCCTGAAGATTAGAAAAATGCTACAGATAAACCTATTTGCAGGGCAGGACTAGAGACGCAGACATAGAAAACAGATGCGTGGACACGGGGCGGGGGAACGGAGTTGGGACAAATTGGGAGATTAGGATTGACATATATACACTACCATGAGTAAAATAGCTAGTGGGAACCTGCTGTATAACACAGGGAGCTCAGCTTGGTGCTCTGTGATGACCTAGGTGAGCGGGATGGGGGGTGAGGTGGGAGGGAGGTCCAAGAGGGAGGGGATATGTGTGTACATATTGCTGATTCACTTCGTTGTACGGCAGAAACTAACACAACGTTGTAAAGCAACTGTACCCCAATAAAAAAAAAGAAAGAAAGGAAAAGAGAAAAAAAGATTAAATGTTACTAAATATAGAGTACTTAAGACATATAGTGTTTATTATTATCATAAAGAAGACAAGTTTACAGCTCTGCAGAAGCCTGTATGTTGGCTTATGCTGAGCTATGTATCCTACCTGCTTTCCCAATAAACTCAGTCTAGATCGGAGATAGGTTGTGGAGTGGATATGGGGGCTGACAACATTACCACCTTGTCTGAATAGGATTTAGTGGTTTTAGGTGGGAGTGAGGTGGTCAGTTTTAATCCTTCTTAGATCCCCTGCCCCCGCCCCCCCCCCAAGTTTGGTAATTTAGGTATAATTCTTAATGCAGCTGTAAGCTGAATAAGTTTGGTAGGAAATAATAGCTATCTTCATATATTTGAGGAGATGCCACATGAAATGGGTAGATTTATTCTGTTCAGCCCCAGGCAGCAGAAATGTGACGAAGGGTAGAAGCTACTTAAAGGAGGTTTGGCTCTAAATAAGAAGGAACTGTCCTCGGAGAGCCTATCGTAGTTTAGATGAAGTTTTGTTGAGAGCTCGTCATGCCAGGCGCTGGGAATTCCAACACATAGCTCCTGCCCTTGAGATGTCTCTGGTTAATAGGGTAGCTGTGGAGATGGGTAGAATTGGATAGGTGTGGGGTGTATTTTAGCAGTAGAGCCAGCAGAATCCATTGGGGGTGAAGGACTAAGAGGAATCAAGGATGCCTCCTAGGTGTTTAGCTTCTTCCAAGGTAAGGAAGCTGTGGTGCGGCAGGAACCGTGTCTTTACCTTGGACCTGTTAAGCTGGCTTGTAGCCGCTTGACGTCTCAGCGGTGGTGATGAGCAGGCAGCTGTGCTGTGAAGTAGGAGACACGGAGCTGTAGCATTCACTAACGTGCTCTTAAATTGTCTGTTCTAGCCTCTGAGAATGATTTGCTGAACAAGCGCCTAAAGCTTGATTATGAAGAAATCACTCCTTGTCTTAAAGAAGTAACTACAGTGTGGGAAAAGATGCTTACCACTCCAGGAAGATCAAAAATTAAGTTTGACATGGAAAAAATGCACTCGGCTGTTGGGCAAGGTGAGCTTAACTGGGAATCAGTCCAGCCGGCCTCACCCCTCACTGATGACTGGGGAGAAGTATGGAATAAAAAATAATTTTTAAGTCCATTTTCGGTGGCCATCTCTCTCCTACTTATCATGTCTTTACCTAATCTGTTTCCAGATGTCTTAGTTAATTGATGTGAGTTTCATTACCTTTCATGATTCCTCTTAATTAGGTTAATTAAGGAAAGAGGAAGAAGACAAAAGAATACCTAAGGGCTTAGTTGCCTACAAACTGGGTAATGATGTGATGATAAGCTGAGTGAAATAGTAAACTGACAGTGAACTGTGTGCCTTCTGTCTGGATGCTCTCAGGAGGTAACATAGTGTCCAGCCCGGACTTCAGGCAGGTAGGCTCGGGTTTGGATTCCAGCTCTCCAGTTACTTTGCAGCCCTTGAAATAAAAGACGCCGTGTGGCTAAGAAGGCCTCTCCTCTTAATGAGACCCCTAAGTGACGGAAATAAAGAGATTTATAAACATCCCAAGTTAAAGTTCGATCAAGGTGGCAGGATTTTAGGGTGTCAACTTGGGAGAAGGAGGAATAATTCTAGGGAATTTTAAATAATTCAAAGTTTACTTTGGTTTTAAAGGATTTCTCTAAAGGTATCAAGGTGTAGAACTTTATAATCTGGAGCGTACTTTTCTAGGAGTGGGATTGCAAAGAGGCTACCTGAGCAGTTGGCAATATGGGCCAGAAGCAAACTCTGCTCACCTTTGACCCAGCACTGCCACGTATAGAAACCCGTTCTAGAAATGAATCAGTCAAAAATGTACTGCAGTGGGAAGAGTGCAGATTGTGGCAGTGTTTAATGGCCAAAAAACAAAGCAGAACCCGAAAAACCCCAACTGCGTGACCACACGTATGTCACATTCCTTGAAAATAACGCAGCAGATTCATATTGACGGCAGTAAAAGGTTTCTGAGGTCAATCGTTAAATGAGAAAGGACAGCGTGGCCTCATGTACAGCTGTGTATCTCCATATGTGTATATGTAGAAAGACATCCTTGACGTGTTTGCAGATAACCTGAGTTGTAGACAGGATGGCCATCCATCCGGGTTACCCGGCATAGCCCTGCTTTACAACCTGTCCAGTAATTAATAGCCTTCCTCCCCTTCGCTTTCAAAAGCTTCCCGCTTTGGGTGGTGAATTATATGTCCCCTCTAGTTATGAATGGTTTTTCACTTTCTTCTTTATACCTCCTGTATTTTCAGAAGGTTTGTTTGTTTTTCTCACGTTTAAATAGGGAGCATATATTACTTCTAAAGTGAGTAAAAATTAAAAAGTATTTACATCTGGGGGGAGGGTGGCTTCCTGCCTGCGCGCCCAGTCCACTGCCAGGTTTCTTTCTGGGGTTAGGAGTGGAGGCAAAACCGAGCGTGCGGAAGGCTGTTCCAGGTCATTCTTAGCAAACACATTGGCACCGATTTGCATGACCCTTTGTTTTTAAATCGTAAAATCTAAGCTTTCTCTTAAACACCAGAATATGTGGTACTGTCCAGGGACGGCCAGTATTTTTTTCCTCCCCAAAATAAAGGTTTGATAAGATAATGGGAATGATTTAGTAATAAGGGGAAATTGTTCATCTCATAACTTGGGAAATTTCCCAGTGTGACAAAAATATTTTGTGAAAAGCCCCACTATTAATCACGTAACATGCTGACTGTTTTTCAGCCCACATTTGTTGCTAATACAGTGTGAAGTATGAGGTGTGTATGTGTCTGTACATCTCCCCACCCCTCCAGATACATCTCTGAGCAGGAGAAAAGAAACAGAACAGTATAAAAAAGCAGATATCAGGGTGGATTAGTTTCCTGTTGCTGCCATAACAAATGATAACAAAATTGGTGGCTAAAACAACAGAAAGTTTTCTTAGTTCTGGAAGCCAGAAGTCTGAAGTCAGGGCGCGTGGACAGGGTCGCCCTCGGCCTCTCCCAGCTTCTGGTGGCTGTCGGCACTCCTTGACCGTGGCTGCGTCACTTCAGTCTCTGCCTCTGTGGGCATATCGCCTCCTCTTCTTGTCTTCTCCTCTGTGTGACTCTTTTCTAAAGACATTGTCATTCTGGGTTATGGCCTCATTTCAAGGTCTTTACCTAACTTAATTATCTCTGCAAAGACCGTTTTCCCAAATAAGGTAACATTCACAGCCTCAGGTGATCAGGACGTGGGCATACCTTTTTGGAGGCCACCACTCAGCCCACTACACAGGGTCACCCAGTTGGCTCCGAGTTAAACATTCAGAGAACGTGTAGGATGTGGTCACAGTTAAGTGTGTCCCTGTGTTTCTCCCATAGTGTAAAGCCAAATTACTGACTAGACTGTAAGTATTTCCAAGAGATGGCTGAGTGATGCTTTCTAAACAGCTCCTGTGAATCTGTAATAAATGAAATTGGCTTTCTGGTTCAGATTCACAAATGATGATTTTATTATTAATTGCCAGGTAGGAACGTAAGATATTTTCCTCAGTACCCATCTGAGTAGCAGCTTGTGTGACAGTGAGAACTTTGAGAGAAAACGGCAGTCAGTTTCCCTGGGTTGCCAGCAACGAGCTGGGGCACCTCTTCTCAGCAAGGGACCTTTGTTTCCCCATCTGCACCATGTGGAGCAGGAGCATCATCGTATTTCCCTCAGCGGGTTGTGGGGATGATGTAACGTGTTCAGGATGGTGACGGCGCCTGGTCACCTCACAGGGAGGGTTAGCTGCTGCTCTTTCCCGGAGTAGGATCTGCTCTCAGAGACGGCTGGGGAAACTAGCAAATGACCTTCCTGGGTAGGCTGTCCGAGTGGCAGGGAAGGGTACAAAGTGCTCACGGTTTTTTTCTGGATGGAAAGGGAGATTAATCCCTGATTACGAGGCTCCTTTTCTCTGAAGAGCACTCCTCAGAGATGAGGAGGGTTTGGTGTCTTATCCTGCCGTTTTCTTTGTCTCCCCATTTCCACGTTTGGGCCTTGAAACAGCGGAATCACGAACCCAAGAATTTTGATCCAAAACAGTCACTTTTTCTAATGAGGTTTGACCTGAGTAACATCATTGACTTTAAGAGGACGTTTCTTAGTTTTAGACATTTTAAAATTACTTTGAGTATTTAAGTTAATCACGTCTAAAACATTAGGTAGAGGCTCTTAGATCATTTTTCTTGTTTGTAGGTCCATGTTGAATGCCCACCAGGGCATGTTCATGCAGACTGTCCCCTGTGCAGCCACTGGCCCCTTCCTCCAGCCCACGCTTGCAGAAAGACGTCCAATCAGTATTCCAGAATCTCAGCTTTGATTCGGCTACTCCTTCCCCAACTCAAAAACATTGAGTGGCTCCCTTCGGCTACCAAATAAAGTGCAGGTTTCTTGCCCTCAGTTTTGCCTCTAGTAAAGCCCTTCCAGCCTGACTGCCACCTGCTCCCTCCTGCATGTGCCGTGTGCCCAGGGAGACCTGTGGAAACGCTCTTGGTTCCCTTCCTCTGAATTGGCTTCTCTCTTCTTTCTCCCACTCTTGAGTCTTGGCACGAGTGAAGGAGTCCAGGAAACCTAGATCTCCTTCGTCCACACTCACCTCTTTGGATCTGTCTCTTCTCTGAGTTCACTTTTGTTTTTTTAAACTTAAAAAAAATTTTTTTTTCCTTATTTATTTTTTATTTTGGGCTGTGTCAGGTCTTAGTTGTGGCACGTGGGATCTTCGTTGGGATCTTCGTTGCGGCATGTGGGATCCTCCGCTGCAGCGTACAGGCTCTGTAGTTGCGGCACGTGGGCCTAGTTGCCCCGCGGCATGTGGGATCTTAGTTCCCCGTCCAGGAATCGAACCCACGTCCCCTGCATTGGAAGGTGGATTCTTAACCACTGGGCCACCAGGGAAGTCCCTGAGATCCCATTTTGCAGTGTCATTTTACATGCTTGCAGTTATTTCCCAAGGACGTTAGTAATTGGTGCCAGTTATAGGGGTTCATGTCATTCATCAGGTTATCGCAGAGTCTAGCACAGTCTGCACATAGTACCTAGATATGTACTACGAAAGGTGGGAGGGGGTCAGGGAGGTGAGGGAAGAATGGCGGGGAGTGTGGAGGGAGGAAGGAAGGGAGCAAATACGACAGAATTCTGGTTGCTTTATTTCCATTCCTATGCAGTTAATTCACAGTGGAACTAGAAGTTGGATCAGTGGACTGAAGCACAACTTGTTTTTATTGTTAAGTTGAATTCTGTACATGAAGCCCCTCTCTCTCTTTTCCACCCCCGCTTTTGAAGGTGTGCCGCGACATCACCGGGGCGAAATCTGGAAATTCCTAGCAGAGCAATACCACCTAAAACACCCGTTTCCCAGTAAACAGCAGCCAAAGGACACGCCATACAAAGAGCTCTTAAAGCAGCTCACCTCCCACCAGCACGCCATTCTCATCGACCTCGGTAAGCCTGCAGTCGATTTGACATGAAAATGGAAGTTTCACTCACTTGAAAAGCCTGAAGACACTGTCCGAGTTATTTAGTGCTCGGCCTTCAGGTTTAGCAACCAGAATTTGCTGCTGAGATTTTCGATTAACAAAGCCCTGGAGTCATCACAAATGTCTTCTCAGGTCTATAAAGAAACCTCCGTCTGCGCCGGGTGGCTTGTTACCTCTGCTCAGCATGGAGGGTGGCTGGCGTGGAGGTGCCAGTTCTGACCACGGTTCAGTTCAGTGACTCAGATATTGATAGGAGGTTTTGCAGTCAACCCAAGGAACATCCTGGAAACACAAGTGTCAGAGCTGAGGCTGCGTTTAATTACAGGAGCCACTCCCTAGTCTTTACGGTTTACAAACAGGATTTATTAGAAAAATTGGAGAAAGGAGTTTGTGAGTGCACCCTGGGTGATTTTATTCTGGGAACGGGGAGGCGCCTCGTCTCTTGAGCAGTTTTAAAAACGCTAAGGTGGAAACGGTGTCTTGGGTACCTTTGCAGTTGCCACAGTGGAGAACTTGTGGAGGCAGGCTGTAGCCATGGTGACAGAAGGCCTTCTGTCTTGTCAGCAGCCCCAGGTGGGGACATCCTTTCCTGCCTGCTCCGCCCCCAGCGGCCTCCGTCTCTGGCTCTGCTGGCAGCAGGGCTCCTGGGCAACCCCGTGGGCTCCCGGCCCTGCCGCTTCTAGGGCACATGGTCCTGCTTCCAGCTGGCTGCCGCCACCCCGGGGCTCCCCGGTCCGTGTTTTGGGCCCACCGGGTTCCTGCACCCGGGAGGGGGCAGCACAGTTCCCAGCCGTGTGAGGTGCGAGCCGGATCAGGCAGTACCGAGGCTTTTCTGTCCAGCCACACGGCACTTCGTCAGGGTAGATTTCGTAAATGTCCCTCTTCAGGTCTAAGTTGGAATGTCATCCCTGAGAAGCTGTCCCTGATATAGCCTCTTCTCCCACCTTCAGGTTGGGTTAGGTGCCTCTGCTAAGCCTTGTCCCACCCTCTTCACTCCCCTCAGCGTACTTATCACATTTATCATTATGACAATTATCATTAGTGTTTAAAGCTAGTACTTAACTTTACCTTGGACCAAATGTTGGGTGAAGTTACTTAAAATCTTTTCTTTAATCCTCACAGCACAATCAGGGAGGTGTTGTTCTATCCTCGTTTGGAGCTGAGAATATTGAAATGCAGAGAGGTTAAGTCACTTGTCCAAAGTAACACGGCTGGTGTGCCACTGAACAGTGTGACTCTAGGCCTGTGCTTGTAACCCCCCCCCTCCACTGTCCCTTAGTTATGTGGCAGTGCCTTTTTATTGCCTTTCTCCCCAGTAGGATGCAGCCCTCCCTCTGTGGGCTGGACTGGGGCCATTTGCCATTGTACCCTAGCTCCTAGGACAGAACCTGTCACATAGTAGATGCTTACTAAATCTCTTGATGTTGACTGTGAGGCCCCGCACTGGCATCCCAGTCTCACGTGACCCTCACAGCAGCCTTGGAAAACTGGCCCTGTATCCTCTTTAAGAAATGAGAAAAGTCTCTGAAGCGCAGCGAGGTCAAGTGTTGACCGTGGTCACACAGCTGAGTGCCAGGACCTAAACCCCCTCCGGCTCTGTGCTGCAGTAGGCCCCTCCATCCCTGAGGCCCTCTGCCCAGGAGCCCCATGCGTTCCTAGGAGACGGCTGGCTGGGTGCAGGGTGATGCTGACAGGCCGTGATTGCGCCTTGGGGACAGTGAAAATGTGAGGCCTGGGGCTGGAGCCCATTTGGCCCGCTGACCCTAAGGAAGCAGTTTTGTGAATTGGCAGTAGCAGTGTTTGCTCATGTGGTGAGTAACAGAAAAAGTGACATGTTCCTATCATGTGAAATGAAGAAGAAAATAAATTTCGGGTAGGAGGTTGAAAGGGAGTAAGGAGCACACGTGGTCTCTGCCCCCACCCGGGATGGGAGGAGGAGGTGGGGACGATGTTTCCTCCTAACTCCTCTCTTCTCTCAGTTTTCTTTCAGTAAATATTCCTCATTGTTCCACGCGCAGGACTGGGCCTCTGCCTGCCGTAGCTCAGATGCAGTTACTCTTCTGCAGAGGGAGGAAAAGGCCACGTCAGCAGCACGACGGGCTCGGGCAGGGCTGTCCCCCGGGGACCTGTGTTTGCGCAGCCACCTTCAGGCACCGCCCTGCCCAGGGGCCAGCGGCTGCCACTCCTCTAGTTGGCCCGGAGTCTGCAAGAGCCGAGATTCGGCCTTTCCTCCTTCCCAGGCAGGGCCAGGCTGCACTCACGTCCTCTCCGTCGCTGCCCGTCTCCCACCCTCACCCTCTGCAACCCCGAAGGCCAGCTGCAGCCCCACGCCACACCCCGACTGCGCCAGCCTTGTCTCTCCACCTCACTTCTTTCCCAGTCACGGCCCCCAGTTCGGATGCCTTCTCAGTGCCCTCCCAAGGTCCCAAAGAAGCTCTGTTTCCAACAGTGCGTTTCCCAGGTGACATCTGTGCGTCTCTCCAGGCTTCCTCCAGGGCCAGCCTTCCCTCCTCCCTTGAACTGGGAGAGCCGAATATTGGCCCAGGTCCAGTGGTGGACCAGGTGCCCTGCCTGCCAGGCTCTGGCTCTGCTGGGTTCACGGAGGCCTCGTCTAGAAGTTCCTCCAAACTTTGCCCATTGCTTCCCCCTCACCTCTCACCAAGGTGGTATTTGCCAAGTCAGTTGTTTTGTCTGCACTTTTTAATTTAGTCTACAGTGTGACTCACTCAAGGCCCAGCAGAGGTGTGTAGGGCAGAGCAAACACAAATCACGTTTCAGTTTTTCTTAAAAAAGTGACATCCGTATCCTGGCCAGAAGAACAGAGTGCTTATTGGTTGGAGGTATTTGGGGTTTGCAAGGATTTTTTGTTTTCCTGGCTTTTCCGAAATTAGCTGTTAATCTAATCAGGTTTGCAATATGTTTTCCTCCAAGGAGTGAGAATAATAGACTTTGTAGTTGGGCAGTGTTTTACAGTTTGTGAACCATATTCTCTAGCTTTGCTGGATTTCAGCTTTACACGGTCCTGTATGAACTTGGACACGTTATTTCCACTTCGGAGGTGATGTGGTTTGCCCAAGTTACAGGCCACTACTCAGTGGCAGAAAGTTCTAGAACCTTGCTCTTCTTAGTCTCTGAATATCATGTTCCCTCTAGGACATACTGTATGGCTTTTCTCTGTCTTGGCTTTGTCCACTGCAGACCAACGCAGCCTTCCCCTCCTCTGGTTAGGTGGAGAAACGCTGTCAGAGCTGGCCCCATTGAGCCAGGAGGAGACAGTGTACCCGATGACACTTAGCAAGTCATGCTGGGGCCTTAGTTCCGGAACCTGCCCCACCCTCTAGGCGTGGTTCCAGCACATCCATTTGTGCTGCCCTCAGGTAATTGTAACTTTTCTCTTCTCCGGCTCTCCATCCTGGGTGGACAATCTGTATTGCCCAGTATCCTGCCTTCTGGCTGTGCCTCCCATCTGGTCGTGGCCACACGAAAGGCCATGGGGGAGGGGACACTGAGCAGCGAGCTAGAGACCCCCTTCGGGCTCCAGGTCACCCTCCACCCTGTCAGCTGCTGCTCTCCTGGGTATCCCGTTGTCAGTGCCTCCCCTGGGACGCTGTCCGGCCTCTCCCACGATAGGCAGGTTGGCCGGGACACTGGAACAGGTCCAGAAATGGAGGGACACCATCGAATCAGAGAGCAGACTTAGAAACTGCTCCCTATGGCTTTCCAGCAGTGGGGTGACTTGTGCAGGGTGCGTATAGGAAGGTTTGTTGCGGGGAGAGGTAGAGTAGCGAGAGAGAAATGAACACAGGACAAGAAATCAGGCAAAGACTATTGCTGCCCTCCTAAGTCAAGTTCAGGTAAACTGATCTGGATTGATTCAGTGCTTTCTCACGGGGCTGAGGAAGAACACACGAATGTATCCTCCTCCCTTTGCTGAGACCACATAATTAAGGTGAATGTTCCCCTCGTGGCCTCCATGCACTTCTGCCTTTGCTGATCCAGACAAGGCCGTAATTCTCACCTGGGTCCAGGCGTGGCCCCGGCTGAGCACCTCTTTAATCAGCCATTTTTCTGCTCCCTAGAAACACACTTCCCCATCAGTCACATTCCAAAAGGAGAGGGGGAGGTGGGATTTGACAGGTATCAACCACACAAGCCTCCTGGACAGAAGTCTTTTTAAACTTTATCTGAGTACCAGCTTTTTGTGAAAATCGGGATGTCGAGAGCGTTTTATTTTAACCTCTTGCTGAGAGGTAATTGTTTTGTATAAAAGGAAACACCTACTGCTCCCCACTGTGTTTCAAAGCACTGCCTATGGTTTAAAAGAAGAGAAATGTGCGTGCGGTGTGAAGCACTTGCAGGGAAAAGAGCAGTCTGGGCAGAGCTGATCGGGGCGTGTGCTGGAGCGGGGTTGGGTAGAGAACCACAGCTGACCGCTCATCTGGACACTAGACTCCTGTTCAGAGGATAGACACTCTTCTTCCTGTTTTAGATGGAAGTCCAGGTATCTGCAGGCCCGAAGGCGGTTCTCATTTCTTTCACCTGAAAGCATGATTAATTGCTGATTTTTTAATTGCAAGCATTATTCCAAGAACAACCAGCTGACCTTGTTTATAGAGCTGATGGATGACGTGATCCCACTTGGAAAGATCTGTCGCTTTAACCTAAAGCACATCAGATTTCTGGTTCAGTAGGCTTTCTTTTTTTCAAAATGCAACAAATGTGTTTTGTCTTCACAGGGCGAACCTTTCCAACACATCCATACTTCTCTGCTCAGCTAGGAGCGGGGCAGCTGTCACTTTACAACATTTTGAAGGCCTACTCGCTTCTAGACCAGGAAGTAGGCTATTGCCAAGGTCTCAGCTTTGTAGCAGGCATTCTGCTGCTTCATATGGGCGAAGAAGAGGCATTCAACATGCTCAAGTTTCTGATGTTTGACGTGGGTCTGCGGAAACAGTATCGGCCAGACATGATTATTTTACAGGTAGAGAGCGTTCCTTAAGTCTTTGATAAAGATGAACTCTAAAATGTTTATGATTCCTTTCCAGGTATATTTAAGGAACTGTCCCACCATCAGTTAACACTGTAACATCTGTCGCTGCTGAGAAGTTACTCTGTGCTAGGCCTTACACCAAATGTTGCATGTGCACTTACCTCCTCAAACTTCAGGAAGACATTGTTGGTCAACTCAATTTAGAGATGGGAAAGCTAAGGCTCAGAGAGGTTACGTAATTTGAGCAGGTCACACAGCTAGCAGGTGGCAGAGCTGGGATTTAAACCTAGGCCTGTCTGACTCCGGAGTGCCCTCCCTTTTACCCTTTGTCAAACCACCTTCAGGTGGTCTGATTCCTACCTCCCAGTGTATTTGCTCCTTCCTCTGCCGGGGATCCCATCCCTACCCCTCAACCCCTGCCATCCCATGTCCAGCTCAGATATCACCTGTTCACGCAGGTGCCGTGTCCCCCCCCCTCTTCCACCCACCCTGGCTCGCTGTGTCACGTGATCCTGTCTCATTCCTTTTGCATAACACACTTACTGCCTGAAATTATCTTGTTTCCTTATTTATTTACTTGTTTATTTTCTGGCTCTCCTTAGCGTATATCATGAGAGGGCAGGGGTCTTACCTGTCTTGGGGCTGAGTCCCTAGTTCCTAGGCTAGTGCCTGGGATGAAGTGGGTACCTAGTCCGTATTTGTTGAATGAATGAGTGACAGGTGGCAGGTCATGTCAGAAGAAAACCCCATACAACAGTGTGTTCCATTGCTGCTACCACCGCCTTTCAGAGGTGGGGAGAACTCTGGATCCTGCTTTGAGGATATTCCTAAATGTTGGAATATGTGTTTACGTGTTTGTTTACCAGCAAGATACTCTGATTTCAGAGCCTTAGAAAGTGTACGTTAGAGCCAAGGACTCTTCCAGAGCATTGAACAACATGGCTAGAAATCCTTTCACCTCCAGCTGTGTGTGTGGACAGCGTGAACATAAATCCCATAGAAGGAAGCCATCCCGTTCATTAGGAGATTTGGGCCTACGTAACACGTGCCACACATGCTGTCAGGTTCTTCCTACATAACTCCGTTAGCGTATTTAATGTAGGTGCGCCTGCCATCGAAGAGAGTGGAATTTTTCAGATTTGTATAGTATAGTATACAACAGTATATACTGATATAGTATATTACACAAGTCGTGTGTAGTATAGTATACACACGGCTGTGTTTGGGCTGGTGGCCTAGAGATTAGATTTCTTTTTGATACAAAAGAGCCACAGCTGGTACGTGAGAGAACTATGTTGTCTGGCCTCCCGGAAACAGTTTTTCCCGTTGTGGGCAGTACATATCCGGCTGTAGCGCCCTCTCCAGGTCACTGTTCCTCTGGGGTCAGGCCAGGGACTGCTCAGTCGGGGCTGGCTCTAGGCCAGCTGTGAGCCCCGGGACCCTCATGGGCTTCCTGCCAGGGCCGCATCACTCTGAGGGAGCCCCCTGAGCTCACGTCCAGCCCAGTTGGAAAAGGTTTCTCCATCTCGAGATAAACGCTTGTCAGCTTATTTTAACTTTCCTGTGTTGTAAACCTGAAGAAGTCACACTTGTCCTGCCTCTTGAGTGGTTTAGAGGGCGTTCAGCAGGAACTTAGGGAACAGATACAGTAGCATCCTTCTGCAGAATCTGTGCTCTCACTTCGCTGTTGGCGAGAGGCTGCCTTTTTACTTCAGATTCCCCTGGCTTTGGGTTTTGCTAAGAATGTGCGTTTACGAAATGTTGCCTCAGGATAGATGCGTAGCTTCTCCCAGCCAAGGAGCGCGAGGGAACAGTGAGAAGAAAGGCCGTGGCCGGAGGAGCCCCGCCGTGAGCGCCCCGGGCCCAGCCCAGCCCCTGCCTGGCCACAGCACTCGCTGGATGACGGAGGGCGAGAGCAGGGGGGGTCTCAGGAGCCGCGAAGAGAGTTCCGTGGTCCTTCCACCTCCGAGTGGGGTGGATGCTGTTCTCCCACGGTGACCCTGTGTGCGTGTCCCTGCAGATCCAGATGTACCAGCTCTCGAGGCTGCTCCACGACTACCACCGAGACCTGTACAATCACCTGGAGGAGCACGAGATCGGCCCCAGCCTCTACGCCGCGCCCTGGTTCCTCACAGTGTTTGCCTCGCAGTTCCCCCTGGGGTTCGTAGCCAGAGTCTTTGGTGAGTGTGTGTGAGTCTGTTCGCCACGACCCGCGTCCTCGAGTTAGAGGGGAACCGTGTGTCGTCGCTCCGTGGTGGTTCTTCTCATTTTTATGCCCGGGTCTTCTACGGGAAACAGGGTGGTATTTGTCATTCTCAGTTTAGTGAGGATCAGGCTTCGGGAGTTTCAGGACCTGCTCAACTTCTGATGATCAGGGCCTCGCCTCGATGCCTTCTTGTGGGCTTAGATCCGATTCCCTCCCCCCAGGCTCCCCCTGGAGCAGACTTGCTGCAGGCTGGGCCGAGGAGCCTGGCGCAGGGCCCAGAGATGTTTCTTCCTCGACCTCCGTGGCCCGGGCCTTGCTCGCTGAGCTCCCTAAGACTTCTCCCCCGGGAGTCCTGGGCCACTGCTCTTTCTAGGTCTCGCCTGCATCTTCTCCTCTCGCTCCGCTTCCCCTACCCGTGGCTCTTCGCTTCCTCTGCCGGCGTGCTCTCGAAGGCACCTCTGTGTCGCCGACCCACGGTCCGTCCTCACGCGCCCCCCGCGTCATCTTCCCACGGCTGTGCCCCCGTAACTGAGGGTGGGTCACATTTCAAACCATCTCCCGTTTACTTGATTTACTTTTCGAGAAGATTGTCTCTGTCAGAGTTTTAAATGAATATTCACGTGCAAAGTCTCAAAACTGCCTTGTCAATTAGACTCCAATTTAAAAAACTAAAAATTAAAAAAGTGTAAAAGGCTGCCTTGACCTGGCAGGAATAGGAGCCGAGTGACACGCTGTGAGCAGTCAGCTCTTGTACAGTGTGCTTCCCCTGCTTCGGGATGAAGTAATAATTCTGACAATTCAGCTTCTTTTTATCTTTTTACTGTGGAGGAAGAGGTTATTAAAAAATTGATTGTCATCACATACCAAGTGGTTTTAAAGTACCATTTATGTTGAGTCACTTGATAGCTTAAAAACCTGTATTCTTACACTTTTTTAGATTCGTTTTTAGAATTAGAGACCATCTTAAAGGGATTGTTCACAAAAGAGAGAGTCACTTTAGGCAGCTTTGGGCAGACCACTCGTATATCTAGATTCTAGAAATCCTAAAATTTGCTTTTTTTTAAAAAAACAAATTTATTTATTCTAGGCTGCATTGGGTCTTTGCTGCTGTGCGCGGGCTTTCTCTAGTTGTGGTGAGCGGGGGGGCTACTCTTTGTTGTGGTGCGCGGGCTTCTCACTGCGGTGGCTTCTCTTGTTGCGGAGCACAGGCTCTAGGCGCGTGGGCTTCAGTAGTTGTGGCACGCGGGCTCTAGAGCGCAGGCTCAGCAGTTGTGGCGCACGGGCTTAGTTGCTCTGTGGCATGTGGGATCTTCCCGGACCAGGGCCCGAACCCATGTCCCCTGCATCAGCAGGTGGATTCTCAACCACTACGCCACCTAGGAAGCCCACCTAAAATTTGCTTTTTAAGTGGGCAGTGAGTCATCTTCTCTCCTCCTCTTCCCCCCACACCAAGGTACTAGATTTTTATTATCATTTACTTCTGTCCACAAGAACTTTTAAGGAATTTACCATTTGGCTTTACTAGGAGAATCTAGGTTCTTAAAATATTCACTACTCTCCCCATTTTTGCATAGCTACCTCCCCAAATTGATTTTTTTTTTTTTTTTTTTGGGTTACCCGGCCCCTCACTTTTTTTTGCTTTTCCCTTTTGGGAGCACAGGCTCCAGACGCGCAGACTCAGCGGCCATGGCTCATGGGCCCAGCCGCTCTGCGGCATGTGGGATCTTCCCGGACCGGGTCACGAACCCACATCCCCTGCATCGGCAGGCGGACTCTCAACCACTGCGCCACCAGGGAAGCCCCCCAAATTGATTTTTATTTTCCGTCCCTAAAAAAAAAAAATAAGCACTGAAAATAATTGATACTAAACACCCTTTCCCTGGTTAAACAAATCATTAGTGAGATTTCATGAAGGTTTTATACCATAATTTTTTTTTAAAAGTCCTCAAAATTACCTGCTTAGTTTACCAAAAAAGAGTCACAGAAACTACAAGATGTTTAGCTGTAGGCTTCAGTCTTTCTTGCCAAACATTTCTGTGTTTCTTACTTTTCTTACTCTGGAAATGAAAAGAAAATCATTAGTCTGCTTCACTTTTTCTCCTGATTCTTTACTGTGTTTTTTCCGAAAGGGTAATGGAGAGCAGTGAAGATTGAAAGGGGGAGGAGGGAGTGTTATTAGATGGTTTGAAAACAGTTCAAGCATTGAATTACACTGTTTGCGAAGAAAACTCTACAGAGGGGGCTGAGCAGGAAGGGCCGAAGGGTCAGCGCCGAGTGTCACTGCCCCGGCCGCAGGCACGGGAGCTGCTGCTGCCCAGAGTTCTGGGCTCTAGGGCCGTAAAGCTCTGGGGGAAGAGCTCTTTCCTCACTGCAGAAGTGGGTAAGAGGCATTAACAGCAATCAGACAGACAAAATCTGCTTTGGAAATGACAGCGCTTGTGTTGCTCATCCTCATGACGTCATAAGTAAAGCTGAAGCCAGTAAAAGCAGGGTCTTCTTCTCGATATTATGTAGTCAGAGGTGGGTCTTGGAGTTTCTTGTACATTATGCATAACGATGCCAGTCTCTGTGAGTCCTGGAGCCCACAGACCCCCGCTGCACTGAGTGGGTTCGTGTCTAGCTGGCTAAGGGCTCAGGGCTCCTGAGATTATAGGCAGGAAGTGGGGACTCAAGACAGCACTGTGTTGTGAGGTCATTCCATCTATCAGTAGTTAAAAGTGAACCATTTTATTGGTAAGGTGCATAGAAAAGATAGGATTTTTTAAAAACCATTTCTGTATTTAGCATCGGTGACTTAGCTCCGCATTGGTGGGTAGCTTCGTTTTAAATCCCAAAGCCTGCCATTCATACATATACTGTAGGCTTTTTTGGCCTGGGGTCCATTTCATTATAGGCCCTTAGGCCTGGATCAAACCTAAAAACAGGTGGACTTTTGTTAACTATTCACTATTTTATATGTAAGTAACGCAGTCAGCATAGCTCATATATAGATTAATAGCTTACCTCGAACTAAGTATACGCTACTTGGAGGGACAGCTGCCAGTGATGCCCGTGCCTCGACCTTTACATGGTAATTAACCACCCTCTTCTGGATGTCAGGTGTCACATAATGTAAAATCGCCGCCTCCTGTATTTTTCCGGTCTGGGTGTAGAGGGGTCCTGGGAGAGACGCTTGTTCTGTTCACCTCCTGATGTCTGCCTTTGGGGGAAGAAAGTCTGAAAAGTAGGACCTGCCTTGCTCCTGCTGGAGGTGGTGGCTGTGCTGTTATTAGGCTCCTGACGTTTTCTATAGGATGTGCTGCCAAGTAGATGAGAGAGGAGGTGGAATCTAAAGATCAGGGTTTGGCCAAACACAGAAGCCACCTGTAATGTAGGGAGGGGTTCTGAGAGGCTTCAGGACTAAACTAGCCTGGGGAAACAAGACTGTTTGGGTGGCCAGGGAAAAGGGCTCTTCCGGGTAACGCGATACAGCGGTAATGAAGTGAGTCTTTGCGCAGTCTGCCCTGTCATCTTACCGCAAGGCTGTCAGCATCCTTGATCTCTCTCCTGCCTGTTCCTGGTGAAATGTGGGGATATCACAGCTGGAGGACCGCAGCCTCCCAGAGAAAGTTCAGGAGAGGGCTGGCCCGCGACAGAGACAAATGTAGCTGGAAAAGGGATGTAGGATAAGTTCACCTCCTGGCCGTGTGCTTTGCCTTGGTCATTTCCCCCCATAGGAAAAGGGGGCACTTCTAATGTCGTGGGGAGTTTCAGGTAGAGCTCCCATACATGCTACCATGATAGCAGGGTTGCCGAAGTGTCTTCAAAGCAAAGTAGTTATTTGTGGCGTTCTCAGCAAACAGTTTGCAAAGTGGTGGAGTCAGCTGAATTTAAGGTCCCTCTACTGCCTGCCTGATGAGCCCCTCTGCCTGTTTCTAGGTGGGCTTAAAAAAGGAGAGAAGGAAAGTCGGCCACAGCGTTGTGAGCTGGGCTCCTGCCGCGCTGCTGAAAGACTTAGCAGCTCACTTCCTTGTGCAGTGATTTTCAAATGAGGGAAATCAACTCACTTTTCCAAGGAGACTATTGTTTAAAAAAACTTTTTTAAATTCTAGTATGTAAATGTATAGGGATTGGGAAATGGGCAAAAATGACAGTAATTGGGTTGGGGCAGTGGGTTTATAGGTAACCTTTTTCTTTAGTATTATTTAAAAATTACTTAATTTTTAAAACTTGCAGAGGGAGAAAAAGGTGTGCTAATTGTCTCTGAGGGATACAGATGCTGCCCCTAAGTGTAGTCAGATAAATGTAGGAGCCCCTTCTTCTCAGCAAAGCTTTGAGGGGTCCTTCCTTCAATCCTTCAGACACATTCCTCAATCATGTCCCGAAAGGCAGTCCTTATTTGAAGCCTCCTTAGTCTAACAGAAGCTTCTGGGGCTGAGCTCTCCCAGCCTCACTCGTGCAGACCACTGGCCGGCTTGTCGTCAGAAGGATGGGCACCTGGGGCGGGCCTCCAGGAGTGCTGGTGAGTCAGGCATCTTGCCGCTGGCAGCATGCACAGGGGCGTCTGCTGCTGGGAATCAGCATGGTCTTGTCAGTGGCTCTTAAAAGGTGGCTTTTCTCCATCTAAAGTTAACTCTAGCCCTTCCTTGCAAGGCTCAGACCCATAACCGGGGTCTCACTGGCATCATCTCCCAACCAAGGAATACGCTGACCTACTCAGGAGCGAGGAAGAGAAGGCCTTCTGTGCCCTTGGTGTGTGCTCGCTGGTAAAGGTAGAATGGCCTGGCCCCATGACCAGGGCTCCTGCCTTACCTACCCTTGTGGGCTCCTGTACGCGCTGTGTGCTTTCACACCTCTGCATTTCCACCTTCTTTTTTCTTCTGCGCAGAGTATTACTCCCTGACTTCTTGACTGGGGAGTTTCTGTTGGTTCTTTAAGGCTGGGTTCGGCAGCCACCTTTCCTTGGGGCATTTTCTTCCCTTTTGTATTCTGTTTTGTTTTGGTTTTAAGATAACCAAAAAAGAGTTAAAGAAAAAAACCACCTCTCCAGATTTCCCTTTGTTTTCTTCCTACAGTTTGGAAAAGTTCAGAATCACAGGAAGCACTCTGCTAGTCAGTAGATTTGTTATAAAAACCAAGATCCTAAAGGAAGAAAACTTGGAAGACCGTTGTTAATCTTAAGGCTCCTGATGTGGATTGTGTATTTGATTGTGCTCATAAAAGTTCCCCAGTTGTTATTTATTTTAGCTGGCTTAGATGTGGGACTATATCTAAATTTAAGGTACTTGCCCCAGAGACTGAAGATTCTGAGCTATATAGCACGTCATTGGTCTGGTAGTGCAGTCCACTCCCCAGGATCCCTGCAAAGAATGCCTTGACATTGATTCTGATAGATGCCATTCAGCTATAAATGTTCATATATTGAAAGGAAGTCTTACTGTCTAAACCAAAGAAACTTCAAATTTACTTTGTTTTTGGAAATGTCATTTCTGTTTAAAAATATGTCTTAGTTATAGCGCAATCTTATTTTATTTAAAAATCTTTTTTTTTTTTTTTTCCTGCGTTGGGTCTTCGTTGCTGCGCAAGGGCTTTTCTCTAGTTGCGGAGAGTGGGGGCTACTCTTCGTTGCGGTGCGCGGGCTTCTCACTGCGGTGCCTTCTCTTGTTGCGGAGCACGGGCTCTAGGCGCGCGGGCTTCAGTAGTTGTGGCTCGTGGGCTCTAGAGCGCAGGCTCAGTAGCTGTGGCGCACGGGCTTAGTTGCTCTGTGGCATGTGGGATCTTCCCGGACCAGGGCTCGAACCCGTGTTGCCTGCATTGACAGGCGGATTCTTAACCACTGCGCCACCAGGGAAGCTCCTGTAGCGCAATGTTAGATCTTTATGTTTTCTGTAGTGGTGAATTGCATGGGTAGACTGCATATTTTTTAAATCAGGCATTTCACAGGACTATTCTTCCATAGCACTGCCTCGATACATGTACTCCTCCCCCTAAGAAGCTCAGATTTCAAAGATGTGATCTGTTCTCCGGTTTATCTTACCAGCCCCTACAGCCAGACTTGAGGAGGCAGCATCTGTCCTTTTCAGTTGCGTGGAGCTGCCCTGAACCAGGAGCAGTGTGAAGTTGAGGGAGCAGTGTGGCCCTGGGCTCTCTGGGAGCGGCTGCCTGCAGGGCTGCACCCAGCCGGGCGCCAGGTCTGCTCACGTGATGGTCTCGCAGCATCTCTGGGGCTGACCCAGCCAGCCGGTGCTTGGGTGTCTCCCTTATGCCATCCACAAACCACCCTGGGACACGTCCAGCCTGCGCTCAGTGGCTTGTTTCTTAACGGCTTTCACTTCTCATCCCCCTAAACCACCCAGAGAGGCACAGGCTGGGAATTCTCCCTCTCACCTGCTTCTGTCCTCCTTGACTTGATGGAAAGTACAGCTTCTTTGTCCCTTTCATTCTCCTGCAGCACCCCCAGAAAAAAAAAGAGAATATTGACAGTTGCCTCTAATTAGATTTATGCTCCCATCTTTTAAAATTACATTTCTTCTTACATTATTATTCCAGTTGTTAGGTAACTTTCCCCAATTTAGTCACCCAACATTTAGTTATTAGGGCTGTGCTTGAGCCCCAGGACGTTGGAGTCTCTTTCTGAATGGCTTCAACTCTGGGGAAGGTGGAGCCAGGGCTGGGCTGGGCTGGGCTGGGCTGGGCTGGGCTGGGGCCCCACTTGCCCTCCCTCTCCCTGTGCACCGTAGGTGTGGGGATTGTTAACATTCGCCAACCATTCTAAGGGAAAAAATGGCAAGAACTAGAAAATAACCCTGATAGAGTTCTTTGAATTCTTCAGAGGGAAAAAATTTTTTATTCCATTATTATGCTAAAATTCAGTATACTTGTTAAGTGTTTAATAATGTACTTTTGCAATGGTGCAGGCTTTTTACAGTTTTTAGAGATCTTTTAATTCAACCCCTTATTTCAAAGCAGAGGAAACAGGGGCGTTTTCTTCACTTATAGCAGCAGAGATTAGGATAGAGTGTTTATACACATCTTTGTTTTACTCATAAAAATATATGTTTTAGTAATAACTCCTTTGAAATCCAGAGGATTCCTGAAAAAATAGACTAATGAAAAGTTTTCTTTTTCACAGTTTCAACTTTTGAGGTATGTTTGAATTTAATATATTTTTGGAGTGAAAAACAGATTTATCTGAACCTGTGACAAAATTTTAGCAGTAGTTTAGTATATATAATATATGTATATTTACATATATATTTACATATTTACTTATTATTTGCTATATTGTCTTGACAGCCCTGTCTGAAATACCAGGATCTTATAATTTGGGGTTGCATTTCCCACAGTCCTGCTCTTCGATGTGTGTGAAGGGGAATGGAGTGCCATTTCATCAGAATCTGGTCCGGCTTAACTTTCTGCTTTTCTGTGTTTTCCCAGATATGATCTTTCTTCAGGGATCAGAGGTCATATTTAAAGTGGCTTTAAGTCTGTTGGGAAGCCATAAGCCCTTGATTCTGCAACATGAAAACCTAGAAACTATAGTTGACTTTATAAAAAGCACGCTACCCAACCTGGGCTTGGTGCAGATGGAAAAGACCATCAGTCAGGTATGGTTCAGTCTGGACCTTCCAAATGTTCCAGCGATTCTGGATATGCAGAAGCTGAATTTCCTTTTTTTTTTTTTTTTTGTTGAGGAGGAGCAGTTTCCTACCGCTTTGTGTCCTGAGCAGCAATGCTCCGCTCGTGGGAGGCACATCTCGAATCCCTGTTCCATGATCAGACGTGTGTCTGCGCGTGCGCGTGCTGAGAGTGTGTAGGTGTGATAACCAGCACAAACTATCGGTAGTTTCTTACAATTAAAAGGCGTTTGTCCTTCTGAAATACATACATTTTTATTCAACGTAGGCTTTTGTAAAATGAGTGCTTTGATTTTTGTGCTGAAATGGCATTAATTGGAATTTTCTAAAAATTTAACTTGTTGATATGAAGTTGTGATAAAGAGTGTATATTCTATAACTTTGTTCTGGAGAGCATGTGTGTGTGTGTTTTATAGAGTTCAGTCCCACATTCATCTGTGGTTCTAGTCCCTCTGATATCTGTATGCAGCAGAACTGCATTGCATGTATGCATGTATCACTCTCTGAAATGTTAGGGGTTGAGGGTGAGGTGATCCTGGAATTGCAGCTCGACCAGTTGTTAATGGCCTGGCTTAGGAGTGGGAGCAGATTTTGACTGTGTATCAGGAAGAATTTTCCAGTAATGATTGCTGACCATGCAGGACTCAGCTGCCTGACAGGGGGTGAGGTCACCCTTGGAAGTGTCCGGAGGCTGGATGGCGAGTGCTCCAGAAGGTGCCCAGTGCAGAGATCCCACAGACTCAGCAGTCGGGGCCTCTCATTAGCCTAGAACTTACCTCACCTGCAAATGTAATGAAAACATAGAGCAATTGGGTAAAAGCAAATAGTGAAATAAAGCCGTGATTATTTTTTTTGCGGTACGCGGGCCTCTCACTGTTGTGGCCTCTCCCGTTGCGGAGCACAGGCTCTGGACGCGCAGGCTCAGCGGCCATGGCTCACGGGCCCAGCCGCTCCGCGGCATGTGGGATCTTCCCGGACCGGGGCACGAACCCGTGTCCCCTGCATCGGCAGGCGGACTCTCAACCACTGCGCCACCAGGGAAGCCCAAAGCCGTGTTTTAAAAAATCCTTCTTCTGAGGGTTTCTGATAGTCTGAGAGTGGTGGGCTGCACGCAGTTGCAGCAGTTTGTGGTTCATTTGCTGCCCCTCCTTAGGTGCTGAGCCCAGAAAAGGAGGCAAGTCTGGGCTGGAAGAGGGAGACGGTTTCGTCTGGGTGCCACTTCGGGTCTCTGCACATTTCATTTGCCTACGTGAAGGAGCAGCTCTTTTCGTCTCTGCACTTTCTTCTTCAGTTAATTGAGAGGCTTTTACTTCCCTGGCGCCTTCCTCTCAGTGTGAATAGCTCTGGCTTGTTGATGCCCTGCTTTTTGCCAGGTTCTTTGTGACTCTGCATATGCACACATGGTTTCATTCAGTCGTGACTGAATTCCTGAGAGGACAAGTGGTTTTAACCCACGAGCAACCTAGGGTTCAAAGTGGTTGATTAGCTGGCCCACAGTCATGCTGCCGAGAAGTGGAAAAGTAGGGTTTCAGACTCAGGCCCTCTCACTTCAAAGCTTTCGCAGCTACTCAGCTCCACCAAGTGCCTGCGGGTGTCATTTAATCAGAGATTTTCTGGACTCTACCTGTGTATTAAGACTGAATTCTCCACCCTTTGATTCTTTACTTTCTGACATTTCCATGCATTTCCTCCCTTTTAGAGCTTTCATTGCACATACCTATGTTTTTTGGCTGCAGGGGAGAATGCAAGAGCCTTGGTTCCCTAAAGCCAAGTCTGTGCCAGTGAGTGCCCTGACCTGCTGCCTGGGGCCTGGCTAAAAGGCAGGCAGCCTCACCCATGTGGTTACCTTCTGGATATGGAGCCCCAGAAAAAAAAAAACCCATTTTCCTCCCCTCGTCTGTAAGGGATACCTACTGAGGGTGTGAAGGTGCTCTTTAATGTTGGGAGAATAGAAATGGACACAGTGTGGAGAGAGGACAGTTGTGTGTGTGCCTCAGTTGTTCGAGGCATCCGTTTTGAACTTGGCATGCTTTATTCCATTGGCTCCTTAACAACTCTGGGGCCCGGAGGGAGTAAACGCCCAGCACCCTGTACGAGGTGGCAGAGCCAAGAGTGTAACGTGCTCTGGGGCACCAGAGCCCATCCTGTGTAGAAAAGGAGCGTGTAACCAGTAACTGCAAGAGTGGTGGGAGCTCCAGTGGTGCTGTGCAGGGGCTGCAGGAGCGGGCTGTGCAGGGAGTGAGCAGTGAGTGGGGAGTGGGGACCGGGGAGCTGAGGGAGTTGAGTTCAGCTGGGCCTTTTCTGCGGAGGGCCAGGGAGGAAGTGTTTCAGGCTTTGTGGACCGTAAAGTCACGTGAGGTCAGCTCAGCCTCTGCAGCATGAAGGCCACCAGAGCCAGTATTGGTCAGAATGAAGCGGCTGTGTTGCAGTAAAGCTTTATTTGCAAAGCATGTGGCGGGACAGCCTTGGTCCACGGGCTGTAGTCAGCTAACCCCCCATTATAGTACATGCAAAGGCACGGGAGCGAGAGAGACGTTCTAGGTGCCGGTTCAGCTTTCCCCGGGGTGGGGGGGCGGAGGCGCGGGGACTGGAAGTAGGGACACAGCACCTGCATCTGAGGTCCAGGTTTTCAGCCTGCCACAGGTCTCACTGGGAAACAAGACTCAAGGCCCGGCAGCTCTCCGCCCTCCTTGCCTCCAACGTGTTCCATCTGGAACTTGACCTCTGCAGGCTGTCAAGCTTTCTGCCTGCTCGCTGCCCCCTCCCATCCCCTCCCTGCAGAGGGTGCTCTAGTCTCAAGTTCTACTCAGAGCGGGGAGGCCTGAGGGGCAGCGTGATTTCTCTGCAGCCTTGGAGAGCCCACAGGGTGGAAGTGACATTGCGTTCTTTGCGTGCTGCTGTCCTGTGTGTGGAAGGATGGAGCTGGGCTGGATCTCTGTGATAGCCAGGCTCCATTTCATTAAATACCGTCTCCGTGGAAGCCTCAGCTCGAGCCGCTGGGACACAGTCTGCATCCAGGGTGGGGAGAGTCCCCAAGGACAGGGCCCTGGAGCTCCCACTCAGCGCAGCCAGGCTGGGAGCCGCCACCGAGGGGCAGGCCCAGAGTTGACAGAGTCCAGGGCGTGGAGACAAGGGTCTCTGAGGCTCTGTGGCAGCTCCTCAGCGTGACTTAACTGTCAGTTGAACGTGAGCCATAAAAATCGCCTCACAAGAAGGGGGAAGCCCTGGGAATAAACAGAAAGGAAGAGGAGGGAGGTCAGGGGTGTCATCTCATCACAGCAAGTGCCGTGTGCCTGTGCAGCCTCAGGTCAGTGTAAGGAAGAGAGCAGGTGAAGGGGGGCTTTGGAGGACGGGGCAAATAGCCTATTTTCAGCGTCCTTTGGGCCCTGCTCCAAGTGCGGTCCCAGACCAGCACCATCACATAGGAACTTATGCAGAATCTGGGCCCCCCACTCCAGACCCGCTGAGTCAGAATCTGCATTTCAGCAAGATGCCCAGGAGATACGTGCGCACGCGCGCGCACACACACACACACACACACACACACACGCACACCCGCGTGCACACACACACACGAGCACGTTGGAAAGCTCTGCTGTGAGCGACTTCATAGTAAGCACACCAGACAAGTCTGTGTTCTAGTTGAGCTTGTAGGAGAGAAACCAGAATCTTAACAACGTTCCTTTGTTCAAAAGATGCTCTTCAGAACCACAGTGGTGAGACTGCCCCTTCTGCCTTGGGAGGAGCCCTTACTGCTTGAGCAGCTTGCACTATTGAAAATTAGTTTTTTAAAAGGCCAGTCAGTGCCGTACCAAGAGGGTGGGGTACGGCAGGGAGGAGTGCTTTACTACTGACATTGTTTAGAATTGCTTGCATGTGGTGATAATAAAAAGCAGACCAACTTTTAGTTGGGTTTATTTTTGTTTTTAAATTCACCACAGACACTGCACCCCCTTATTTTTGATACCCAGGCAGAGGCTCCCCTATCCAGCTCTTGGTATGCCACTGGGACCACCAGGCTGGGGGGACGGGTCTGGGGGTGGGGAGGGTGGAAAGTATGTGACTAGTTCTGCAGCCATCAGGGTTGATGGCTTCATTACAGAGTGTCCACAGACAGCAAAGAGAAACACTAAGTCTCCAAGAGCAGGCGCGCCAAGAACAGAAACGAACTCTCTAAAGGAGGAGACTCGTCTAGCAAGCAGATATCTGGGAAAATATTTAGCTTCGTGCATAATTTAAATTTAAATAACATATAATGCTTTACCTTCCTAGAATAACAGAATGAAACATTTTAATCCCAATACCCAGTGCCAAGGGTATACTGTATCTGGCACATTCTTACGTTGCTAATGGCACTGTATGTGGATTATTCCCGTTTGGGAAGCAATTTGGCAATATGTATCACGAGCCAGTAAAATATTTGTACCCTTTGACTCAGTAATCCCATTTCTTGGAATGTATGCTTAGGAAATAATCCAAAATATGGGAAAAGCCGTACATATGAGGATGTTTAAAGTTGTCGTTTATAACAAAAACTTACAAGTAACTGGATATCCAGCATTTGATGCCTGGATTAACATGGTTATTGATACGTCGAGTTGGTAGAATACCATGAAGCCATGTATAATTATGGTTATGAAGAATATACAGCAACGTGAGAAAGCGTCATTTGAGGACCAGGGCGCTCCTGTCACCGCCAGCCATATGCTGCCATGGTCGGGAATAAATTCCCAGGCACGACTGCAAGGGCTGTGTGTGTGCTTTGGCAGCCAGGAGGGTAATGATGCAGTTAAGCAGAGATGATTGTGACCCAGGATGGTTCCTGGGGATTAACGTAGGCCTCGGCGAGCACTCCGCTCTGTGCACGGTTGAGAGCCATTAACCATACTGCTCATCAATCTGGATCAAAGGCCAGAGATTTTGTCCCCAGGTTTTCCAGGTTAGGAGCTCATTTAGAAACCTCTGTGGAAGAAAAAATGTGTGTGACATTTATCCCGCACCGTGTTTATAATTACACACTAATGCCACAGCAATCTCGGTTTTAATGTGTGTGGTCTTTGCTCTGAGCTGTTCAGAAGTTCCATGGTGTGACATCCTTTGTCATTCTGCTGCAGCACAAGGTTGGATGGGAGGGGTTTTGTGACAGCTGTGTGGAAGCAGATCCCTTAGCTAAAAGTTAGGGCACCAGCTCAGCTTGCCAGGCCTGTGTCTCGTGATTCCCCACAGCTATGCTGTCAGGTAGGTGTTACCACCTCCATGTGGTGGAGGCCAGGAACTGAGGCCAGGAAAGGTCAAGTAGCTTGCTCAGGGTCATTCAGGGAGTCGCCAGCCGAGCCCCCATTCAAGGGCTGACTGAAAGCTTCTGAGTCAGTTTTCTTGATTGTAGGATAGAGATGATAATCCCTGCCAGCTCACGGTCGCTCTGAGGGGCAGCAGAGAATCAGATCAACGCAGTCAACTGCACACACAAACACGCACGCATGCACGTCACAAATACAATGTGTATTACTTTTTTGGCCTATAGTGACTTTTGTGCCTAATTAGTATTAGCCATTGAATTAAATTGAAAACCAGGAAGCTGAAAAATTAATCTCAGGGAAGAGAAAATAAGATTGGAAGAGAAAGTAAGATTTCTGGGAATGGTGAGAAAGTAAACATGGTTTTTGAAAATTGATTTCAGGAAAGATGGGACTCATTCGTGTTTGAATGCTAACAGGGTACCATCAAGGGCAGTGAGTTTTTCATTGATTTTAACTGTGTTGGAATTTCTTTCTTAAGGAGATGCTGTGAAGAGTTAGTTTCTGCTCTTATAAAGACTCATTTCATTCTTTAGATGTGTGTTCTGATCTGGCTTTTTTAATGTGGTGACTGAATTCTCAAATCCACACTGGGGCGTCACGCCTGGGGCAGCAGCAGCCTCCGTCTTCTGACGCCTCATCGTCCCAGCTTCCCTCCAGCTCACTTCACTCATCAAGAGAAAGTACAGATATGAACAGCTCACTCACTTCTGCGCTTTGGGGTTGTTTTTCACACGAGTGGTTTTTTTTTTTTCATGACTGTTACTATTATGGAAAGGAAGGCAACTCAGGCATTGTTTTGTATTCACTCATCTATGTGGGTGACATTTGGGTTTTGGCTCATTTCTGCATATTTTGTGTGCAGAATAGGGTTTTTTAGTAAACAGTTCCATTACTTAGCTGTTCTTGTAACTCTGAAAATCCAACTGAACTATCATTAAACTTTGACCTGGTGACTGAGCAAATGGGGTTGTGATTCTTCTGTTTTGTTTTATTCTCTCTTTGACCCATAGTTGTGAATCTAATCTAATAGAATTTTCAGAGAAAAATGATCTAAGTACTGAAATAAGAAGTAAAAATAAACTCACATAAGCATTTTAAAAAAGAAGGTTTTGGCTTTTGAAAAATGAGTATCGGAGACCTACACTTGCTGTTACCTTTGGTTTATTTCCAAATGCTTCTTTTTTTAAAATATATTATTTATTTAATTTATTTTTGGCTGCATTGGGTCTTGGTTGTGGCACACGAGATCTTTGTTGTGGCACACGGGATCTTTCGTTGTGGCGCATGGGCTCTTCATTGTGGTGCGTGGGCTTCTCTCTAGCTGTGGCGTGCGGGTTTTCTCTCTCTAGTTGTGGCGCATGGACTCCAGAGTGCGTGGGCTTCTGTAGTTTGCGTCACACAGGCTCCCTAGTTGAGCCGTGCCAGCTCAGTAGTTGAGGTGGGCGGGCTTAGTTGCCCCATGGCTGTGGGACCTTATTTCCCCAACCAGGGATCAGACCCACATCCCCTGCATTGTAAGGCAGATTCTTTACCACTGGACCACCAGGGAAGACCCCCAAATGCTTCTTAAATCCTCTCTTCCCAAGTAAAATTATTCCCTTCTCAGTGCAGAGAGTTTTCCTTGTTTATCACTGATAGTATCAGGCACAGAGTAGGTGCTTCGTGGACACCCGTCGACGTGGTCGTGTGTGTGTGTGTGTGTGTGTGTGTGATTTTTCTCATTTTCAGTGCCTGATGACTTTTCTGTGTGTCACAGGTGTTTGTGATGGACATCTCTAAACAGTTACAAGCTTATGAAGTTGAGTACCATGTGCTTCAGGAAGAACTTATCGATTCCTCTCCTCTCAGTGACAACCGAAGAATGGACAGATTAGAGAAAACCAACAGCAGCTTACGCAAACAGAACCTTGACCTCCTTGAACAACTGCAGGTAGGGCATATTTACAAGGTAGCCTCCCGAACCTTGAGTGTATGGTAGTTCATTAACTCACCAGAGGCACCGGCGGGCTGGGTTTTCCCATGGCCGCAGCCCCTTTCTCTTCTGGTTGTTTGTAGTTGGGATCAAAGGTAGCCCAGGAGAATTGTTCCTTTTTGTTAGGAAGCAGACAGATTATCCTTTGCTAAGGTCAGACTGTCCTGGAACTTTCTGAGAGGCTATTTCTGCACTTAACCCTTTCAGGAGACAGATCCAGAGCTGAACTTGGGTTCAGGGTGCCGTCGCACTATTAGCCGAATAGCCAGCGATTGCGCTTTGAGTCATGACGAGACAGTCAAAGGCATGAGCTTTCAGGAGCGAAACCAGCTAGGTCCTCGGAGTGATATCGAGTGAGGAAAGTGCCACAGAATCTCCCTAACAGAGTAAACCAGAGCCTGTGATCAGGATTCGTGCGTCCCTGGTGCCAATGCAAAAATTCAGTTCATGAAGGGACACAGTTCTCCCCTCTGGAAGCTTCCGTCTTACCATGGATAAATGCGGATGAGGACATACAGTAAGTAGAAAGGCAAACCCAGACGTGCGTGCAGGAGGGAGAGATGGAGCTAGCACAGAGGCGCAGTCCAGAGACCCAGATCTTGCTAGGTCCAGTGTCACCCATACTGTCACCTGCTCTGCTCTGATTCCCTCATCTGTGCGACAGGGACAAAAAGGTGCCTTTTTGTTGGGGTAGGGGGTAGCACTCCTCTAACAATCAGATAGAATAAACTAACCATACAGTCTGCTTTTTAAATGTCAATATGGGTGGTAAAGCTGTCATTATTAACGAATTGTGTGTGGAGGGGGGGAAGGGGGTGTTTTAAAAAATTATTTTTGAGCTTGCTGTGGAGAAAACTTCATATTTTTTCCAAAATATGTATTCTGTGGTATTCCTGGTCTGTCCTGAGAATAAGCTTTCCATCCTGATCTAAGCCTCTTAGTTTTTCTCTATAGAAAGTTGCTGCTTTGTAGACACAAGCTTGGCAGTGATGGGAGAAAGGCCAGCATTTGGAGCTTAATAAATCAACCCCTGTCTAAAATGTATTCCCCCAGCAGGGATTTTTACCCCAGTAGAAACCTAGTAGATATTCGCTGTAGAGGAACAAAGAAAAGTCTATCCTTACCCAGGCCTACCAGTCACATTCCGAAAGTTAGCTCTTTTTTCCTCTAAGATTGAGCTGTCCTAACTTGAAAGTATGCCTGAGTACGATTTCTGCAGGGTGTCTTAGCTGTAACCTGAAGGGGAGGTGCCGGGGAACGGAGAGCCTTATCTTGCATGTAAGGGTCTGCAGTGTAGGTGGTAATTTTAAATGCCTTCCAAACAAACAGTAGGTCCCTGAAGTACGGCAGGATGGAAACATTTCTAACAAAGCCCAGATTTGAAGTTGAAGCATGTGTCTCGTTAGGATACTGCGCAAATAAAAGGTTCATTTTATTAGGCTGATGCCATGTGGGTTTTTTGTGATGAAGAGGGGAAGTAATTTTGCGCTGCTCCTGTGATACTGTACCCCTTTTGTGAAGAGAGGGAGTTGTGAAAAGCTGCTCAGACATCTCCGTCCTCAAGAAACGCATCAAGAGGTGATTGGTAACAACAGATGTCCTCCTTGGAATGATCTTTCTCTTGACCACGTGGCTCTGTGCTTCTGGACGTATCATTGAAGACTAGAGCTTATGCCGGTTCCAGCTGTGCTGGGTGCCAGAGGCCACCAAAATTTGTAAGACACTGCTGCTCTCAAAGAGTTGGGCTAGGGATTGTGGTGTGTCCGTTTGTGGGTGCCTGCATATAGTTTTCTCATTACCCTCTGAGTCATGTGGAATTACTTTCAGCCAGACCACATAAGTTCTGTGAGACTCACACCTCTTTTCCCTTTTTTCTTTTTTTTAAAAATAGTTTTCAGAGTCCAGGGATAGCTGTTCAATGCAATACTTAATTTTCCAACATAAATCTTTGCTTTTTTGCCCAAGTATCAAAATTGACCTGCTTCCTGGCTTTGTTCCATTCATACAGTTGTTGGACCATACCAAAACCCCATCTCTTTTCTTGTTAAACACTTAAGAATGTCATCTAGCCGCTGGAGACTAAACTGTCTTAGCTCTTCTGTCCAGCAGCGTACTTACGACGATTGCTTAGACATGTCTGATGTTGCCAAATGCTAAGGGACGTGCATTTTTTGGAATAATCCGCTACCAGTCATTGAGTGCCCGTGAGCCGGGTGCTTTGGGAGGCCAGACCCACATGCAGGGTGAGGTGTGTTTTCTTCTGTGAGACAGCTTCAGTCTCACCGAGGAGGAGACCTGATGTTCGTGCTGGCCAGTAAATGACCATGCACATCAGCTCACTGCTAAGCTGAGAGGTGCCCCTGGGAGTGCTGTGGCCTTCAGAAGGAGTGGTCCCTGGAGGGGATGAGGTGGGACCCGTCCCAGGCCTTGACCGTGGGGAGGAGTGTGAGGGTCGGAGAGGACTGCTTGGACATACCCACTCAGCGTGACCGCCCCCTGCCTGGTAAGCCGGCAAACTTAGGATCTCAGTCCTTTCTTCTTTCTGTTTAGAGTGTTCCAGTGTCACAGCCAGACCTAGGCTTTGAGTCATAGAATTGTCTGTCTAGCACAAGTGTTGTCTTGTTCAAGAAGCTGCTTCCCTTGTTTTGAAAACGAGAGAAAAAATATGTACTGTTGTTCCCACCTAAAATCTACGGGGACACGTAGACGGCCGGTCAGATGAGCGAGCCACTGCAGTGCCTTACTGACCCCGGGCCCGAGCACTCGAGAATGCAGCGGAGAGCTGGAATTGGCCAGGAGGCCCGGGGACAGCAACGTAGGAGGCTGCTTTTCTCCGGAAACTCCTCCGCTTCACTGGGGCCAACTCACTGGTTGCCTGGGAAGCCAGCCCGAGGGGACTAGAGAGAAGAGGAGGGTCCGTTGCAAGAGAGAAGCACCTGGAAGGTCGGCCTGACACTGATTGTGTGCTGAGGATGCGGACGGGTGGGAGTGGGGACACTGCTGGCGTCTGTGGCCAGTGAGGCCATGCACGTGACCCTCTTAGCAGAGCTCGGCCACCCTGAGCGCTCCACACACGTTCCCGGGGAAATGCCCGTCCTTGTTACTGTTAAAGGTTCAGAGTAGAGAGCTGTTACTACGTGGGCCTTCACATAGAAACCATTTTGATGGTCTGTCTGAAATCAGTTTGTACCTGTAAATACACGTATTTGTCAAAGTGGGCCAGACTGTGCTGCAGTAACAACGCTCCAGACCCCAGGGCTCAGCACCGCAGACCCTCCACCGTGTCTCCACGAAGCATTCTCAGGCCGTTTCACAGCTGTCCTCCTGTAGCGGGTGACTCGGGAATCGGGCTCCCTCTGCACTGGGAAGCCGCCATCTCCACAGGCGGCTTCCAGAGTAGCCACGACAGGGGAAGAGGGTGCTGGAGGATCTCGGGGCGGCCCAGCCCACCTGCGAGGAGTCTTCCACTGTGGCCAGAACTGAGAGTAAACGTGGAGAGATGTGTCTCTGCCAGAACAGGGCTCCAGAGTGCCTTCGAGAATGGACAGTGGAGTGCAGAGTGGATCTCCCATGTTCTCCCCGGGCAGTTCCATTCTCATTTCTTTTATTCTCTAGGTGGCTAATGGGAGGATCCAGAGCCTGGAAACCACCATTGAGAAGCTCCTGACCAGTGAAAGCAAGCTGAAGCAAGCGACCCTGGCCTTGGAGCTGGAGAGGTCAGCCCTGCTGCGGACAGTGGAGCGGCTCCAGGGGCAGACGGCAGAGCTGGGCGGCCCAGAGCCTGACCCCGTACCACCCGAGCCTGCGGACCACTGACGGCCGGAGCCCAGCCCCCGCCAGAGCACAGCTCCAGAACCGGCTCACCACCGCCCTGACACTGTCCAGGCCTTAACTGAGAGAGATGAAGATGCCGGAGGGAGAACGGAGCGTGAAGCGTGCTTCTCAGGGAGGAGACTGGCTTGCCAGCGCGCGGGTTCTTCTGAACTAAGATTCGCAGTGCAGGGGGCGAACGTCCTGGTGTTGTTGTCGTCGTTTAGGTTCTAATACGTCCCCTCTCCGGTCCCGGTTACTGTGCTCGGTAGATTTAGATGGCATGGACTTGAAATAAAGCACCTTTGTGTTTCTTTATCGTTTCCTTCTTCAGTATCGCTGTGTCTGTAAAGGGCATTCATAATACTGTGGGATTTCAGAAGCCGGCGAGGCTGGAGGCGATGATTCCTCTGGCCGACATGTGGCCCTTCGTTCTTCCAAGGAGGGTTTGTGTGACTTACACCTTCAGTGTCACCAGCAGGGGTGCGGTTGGCCCGTGACCATTCTTGTTGTGGAAGCCCCGATTACCACTGGGAAAAATCGGAAGCGATTTATTTAAACTTGACATCTTATATTTGATCACTGTGCTTGGTATTTAATGAAGTTCGTCTTTTAAGAAGAATAGTTTTCATATACTTTTTGCTTAGCCCTTAAGTATTGATCACAGTCATTGTAGATAAACGTTTTATGGGAAAGTCACCAATTTTTAGACTCTGCCAGGTATTGCTAGCGTGCGGCCTGCAGTTGTAGAGTCTGAGAGGTTTACTTTGTTGTGGTGTTTCATATCCATATTTCAGAATCGTGTATTCACTTTTGCTGTCGTGTGATGTAATGCAGCCGTGTGTCCCTTTGAGTCTCCACCCCTTGGGAATCGGATTCCTTGAGGAAGTCGCCCTGCATATCAGGACTTCCAGGGGTCCCAGACATTCTGGGGCTTTCAAAGCCTTCAGACTTTCGGCCTGAAATTGCATCAACTGTACGGCAGCTGAGAGCAGTTTTTTGTGGTGGGATGTGAGTTTTGAATGTAACTCACAACCCAGCGACCCCCTCCCTCAGGATGATGAGGACCCGGTGCCTTCAGCCAGCAAAAGGCTGCTCTCAGTGGCCCTGGTGTCATCTGGTCGCCATGTGAGGCTCTTCCCCATGATCTCCTGGAGCGGGTGGTGGGTTAGAGAGGAGCCGTGGAGGCAAGTTCACTTCCAGGACAGCAGAACCATTTCTTTACTGTATCTTCGTAACTACTTCTCTTCCACAGGAGTTTTTCGACACACCCTCCGTGGTGGGCGTCTCTTTCAAGCCTGAGGGGTGAGGAAGGCCTTTCATATCTGGAATCTTTCTAGATCTCCCAAGACATTTCCAAGGGAGGCACACGTGCTGCCGCTGGTGCCTAAACAGTTGGTTGACAGTGGGGGCTCTGCTGTTCCCCATGTCATAAACCATGATGACAAGCCCAGTAGCCTTTATCCTGTGTTGTTCCACCAGCTACAACTTAAAGGAGTTCACATTTGAGGGCTTCTTTCCATATACTTTACTGTGTAAATGTTCAATAATGTTCAATTTGGGGCATCTTATTACCATTACTCAAAAACATCGACTCTGCATTAAATAAAAAGCAATAAAACAAATAATTCATGCCCGCACTTTTACGGTGTTCTTTTTCTGTTTTTTAAACGTTGGGTTTCTGCTTTTCAGCCCAGGAGTGAAGGACTGCCCGGTGAACGCCTGTGGGTGAGAGTATGAATGTGGCCTAACCAGCAGTGAGATCTCTGAGGGATTGGCGTCTTGCACACCCAGTATTGCTACCCAAGTGCAGCACACCTGTGCGCGGGTGTGCGTAGTAGGGCTGCTGAGACCAGCCACACCCGTGGTGTGTGCCAGCGGGCACTGTTGTGAGTTCGCGCTGGGCGGAGAGGACGGGGGACACAGGCCTGTGATTACAGGTTGGGCAGTCCGCCTGTGCCTCTGGGCGGCTGGGGACAGAGTCTCAGTTCACATCACTGCCTGAGGATTCGCAGAGGCAAGGTTTTAAACTAAGAAAGTTTCCTATTATGTTTTCCTCGCAACACACAACTGTGTGCACACGTGTGTGTGCACTTGGAGGTTGTCTGTCTTTTGGTACAATTCATACCCTCTTAGACAAAGACATTGAGCCCCTGGGAAGCACACTGTGACATAGAACACATAGAAAAACAGCTTCTATGCAGAACACTCGGTTTGGGGCCCTCTGAGGAGTTACACGTAGATAGAACAACAGTGTCCATTTGGGGATTTGTGTTCGTTTTGGTTGGGGAATCTGGGGAGAAGAGTTGCTCTGAGGGCTATGGGATGCAGGAGCTGTTTCAGGAATGAGAGCGGACACCGCTGTGTGAGGAGCTGCAGAGGGGAGGGTGCAGGAGGAGGTGTGCAGACCAAGAGGAGTCCCCAGGGGGCCCACCTGAGCGGCGGAACACACACAGATGCTGACGCGGGCCGGGGGGGTGGGGCACGCGGGGCCCTAGGCAGCTGCAGCCGCCATGTAGTAACCATCTCCGCGTCGACGGCCAGTGTCTGGTGGTGGGCCTGGAACCACCCTAGGTCATGCCTCAAAGTCAGAACTTGGGAAGAAGAACTTGGAGGTAGAGCGGAGGAGAATGAGGATGAGCTGGGACCTTTAGCACCTCATGTGTATCGGTCGCCACACCTGACTATGATGACCCTCAGAGAAGAGTGGCCCTTGCATCACTTTACCTTCCAAAAAATCACACAAGCATGTCTTTGAGCCGATTCTCATTTAGAACCACTGGGGAAGGGGACGCAAGGAAAGGTAGTCCTGACTTAACCAAGCTGACGGAAGACAAACCACCATAATTTTGGAACCTGCCTAACCCGAATGGTAGCATGCGTATGTGAGTTATTTGACAGGGGCCTTCCAGCTAAGTATATATGATGAGTGATCCGCAGGGCTCGGATTCATAGATTGATTTTGACTTTGTCACTGATGGTGCAACGCTGAAGACTAAAAAAACTGCAGCAGCCACAGCTGACAACTGGGACCACCCCCAACCCTTCACCTGCTTCCCTCTGTCAAAGTGTTACCAAACAGTCTACAAATTAAGATCCAGAATCTTTCTGTGTGGGAAGATAATTTACAGGCCACATTGTCTTAAACTGAAACTGCTTTAAGGGTTTGGAATAGCTCCAGATTATCTTGGATTGGAGGGAACCTGCTATTTCAAACTGGAAAACTACCTTCCACCTCATCTTACAGAGGGAAGAACTGAGGAGAAGAGAGGTTCAGAAACCACCTAATGGTTGCCTGCAGGGTCAGGGTGGGGCTTCAGCCTCCCGATTGCCAGGTAGTTGACACCACCCGGCTTTCATTCCAGTGAGTTTTGGGAATCATTTCTGACGGCATTAAGGTTCAAGGCCAGGAAAGTTCTGCTTCACTTTCCAGGAAGGCGATCTGTATAGTAAGAAGCCCAGCTCAGCTTCTCTCCTGAGATGTAGGGTCTGCAGGGGCCCTAATCTGTCATGAGTTAGAACCAGGGCAGAGGAACGCTACTGCCACAGGGTCTGAATTGACTGGGGACAGTTTTGCTCTTGACAGTCATTTCTTTTTTTACTTTTAGACGTCTGAAAACCCTTGCATTGTCATGTTAAAAAAAATCAACACAATTAATTGCCTTTGGTTTTATAGAAGTGAAACTTTCCACTATGTAAAGATTTTTTGTTGCCGTCTTTAGAAATGATCAGAAGGGTTAGGGAGAGGTAAGAGCTAGGATATATAGAGCAGCCAACCGCAGTCATTATTTGAAATCGATAACAAAAGATGAAAAAAGAATGTTCTGAGAACCTAGGCTTCATAGATAACTGCCTTCATATCTCTAAAGTGAATAATCAACTGTTTTGGTTGTAAACCCTTATTAGCAAAGCTTTTGAATTTATACCACTCTGTGTATAGTTACTTAAAAATTTCACTAAATTTTATCATAAGATAGAAGTTTTAAATGAGGTGGAGCAAAATAGTTTAAAACCACTGATGATTAGAAAGTTTGATATCCAGTGTTTCTGAGGAGGACAATAAACACTTCATTTTAAATATTGTTTTAAGACTGTGATACAGTAATTCAGATGTGAATTTCCAAGTTCAGCCAAGTATGATGGTTAGTTTGAATACACTGCCATGGCTGAAAACAGGGTGGCTTCCAACCTCTAAATGCAGAAAGGGCACTTCTGGTCACATTGAAGCATGCTGGTCTTTCATTCACATGTATTCGCCAATTGTGCAAAGCTTTTTGTTGAAATCTGGCTAGTAAATTTCCATCTTCTCTAAGGGCAGACTAATGTAAACTAATCAAAATGTGTTAAGAGTTTTATATTTTAAATCAGGGACTTTAAAGCACTCAAACTCTTCATTTGGAAAGCTATAAAAGCATTTCCAAGATCGTTTGAGTAGCACGTTAACATAGTTTTTGGCTAAGAGATGACCTAAACAGTAGCAACGCTTCAAACATCCTTTTCTGAAAAAGCCCTCTCCATCGCACATTCTCAGTAGTCTTTCCTTGGGCTCCCTCCTCGGAGCCCTGTGCTCTCCGTCACGGGGAGGAGGAGGGTGGAGGAGACGCTGCTGTGGGAGTCTTCCTTCTCCCTGTGGCTGCCCGCTCGCCCGCCCCTGTGCCCGCTGTGCCCCTTTCCTGCTGTCCTCCAGGAGCTTGCAAAGTGCTGGGCTGAGCAGAGAAGAGGGGAGCTGTGCAGTGTGCGTGGTACAAATAGCCCCTGTGAGCCATGCACTTGCTGACTGCAGGGCCGCCCCTCAGAAC